CAACATCATACTGAATGGGGAAAAGCTGAAAGCTTCCCCTGAGAAATGGAATAAGACAAGGATGCCCACTTTCAACACTTCTATGCAACTTAACACTGAAAGTCCTAACCCGCGCAATCAGGTAAGAGAAAGGAATAAAGGGCATCCAAATTGGAAAAGAGGAAGTCAAACTATTGCAGTTTGCTGATGAGACGATGATATACCAAGAAAACCCTGAAGACTTCTAGATTGGATAAACAAATTCATCAAAGCCTTAGACTACAAAATCAGTGTACACACACCAGTAGCACTGCTACAGACCAACAACTTCCAAGATGAGAATCAAATAAAGAACTCAATCCCTCTTAATAGCTGCAAAAAGAAAAAAAACTAGGAATATACTTACCCAAGGAGGTAAAATATCTCTGCAAGGAGAATTACAAAACACTACTGAAAGAAATCATAGATGACACAAACAAATGGAAACATATCTCATGCTTATGCATTAGAAAAATCAGTATTGTGAAAATGACCACACTTCCCAAAGCAAGCTACAGATTCAATTCACTCCCTATCAAAATACCAATACCACTTTTCACAGAATCAGAAAAACAATCCTAAAGTTCATGTGAAACCAAAAAACAGCCCACATAGTCAAACCAATCCCAAGCAAAAAGAACAAATCTGGAAGCATCCCATTACCTGACCTCAAGTCATAATGCAAGGATATAATTACGAAAACAGTGTGGTCCTGGTATAAAAGCAGATACAAAGACCAATGGAACAGAATAGAGAACCAGAAATAAAGCCAATACTTACAACCAACTGAATTTTGACAAAGCATACAAAAACATAATTTGGAGAAAGAACACCTTATTTAATAAACAGTGCTAGGAAAACTGGACAGCCACATGTAGAAGAAGAAAACTGAATCCATATCTTGTACAAAAATCAACTCAAGATGGATCAAAGACCTAAATCTAAGACCAGAAACCATAAAAATCCTAGAAGAAAACCTAAGAAAAACTATTCAGGACATAGTCTAAGTAAAGAATTTATTGCTAAGACCCCAAAAGCAAATTCAACAAAAACGAACATAAATAAGTGGGACCCAATTAAACTAAAAAGCTTCTGCAGAGCAAAAGAAATAATCAGAGTAAACAGCCAACCCACAGAATGGGAGAAAACCTTTGCAAACTATGCATCCAACAAAGGACTAATATTCAGAACACCAGGAATTCAAATCAGCAAGAAGAAAACAAATCTTATCAAAAAGTGGGCAAATGACATAAATAGACATTTCTCAAAAGAAGATACACAAATGGCCAAACGTGAAAAAAATTGCTCAATATCACTAATGATTAGGGAAATACAAATTAAACCACAATGAGATACCAACCTACCCCAGCCAGAATGGCCATTATTAAAAAGTAAAAAAAAAAAAACAATAGATGTTGGTGTGAATGTGGTGAAAAGTGAATGCTTAGACCACTGGTGGGACTGTAAGTTAGTACAATCTCTATGGAAAACCACATGGTGATTTCTTAAAGAACTAAAAGTAGATCTACCATTCAATCTAGCAATCCTACTACTGGTTATCTACCCAAAGAAAAAAAGTCATTATATCAAAAAGACACCTGCATGTTTATGTTTGTTTCAGCACAATTCACAATTGCAAAGATATGAAACTAACCTTAGTACCCACTGACTAATGAGTAGATAAAGAAAATGTGGTATATATACATCATGGAATACCACTTGGCCATAAAAAGAATAAAATAGTGTCTTTTGCAGCAGCTTGGATGGAGCTGGAGGCCATTATTCTAAGTGAAGTAACTCAGGAATGGAAAACCAAATTCTCTATGTTCTCAGTTATAAGCAGGAGTTAAGGTTTGGGTATGAAAAGTGATACCAAGTGGTATAATGGACTTTGGAGACTCAGAAGGAAGAGGGTAGGAGAAGATGAAGGATAAAAAAACTATACCCTGGATACAATGTATACTACTTGGGTGACAGGTGCAGTAAAATCCTAGACTTCACCATGGATGAATACAATTCATTCATGTTACCAAAAACTATTTGTCTTACAAAAGCTACTGATATTTAAACGTATTTTTAAAATAATTCCAATACATAAATACAAGAGGAGAGAATCCTTCCAAACTCATTCTACAAGGCCATCATTACCCTGAAACCAAAACCATACAAAGACACATCTAAAAAGAAAATTACAGGCCAATATCCCTGACCAGCATTGATGCAAAAATCTTCAACAAAACACTAGCAAACCAAATTCGACAACACATTAAAAAGATCATTCATCATAACCAAATGGGATTTATCACAAGGATGGAAGGATAGTTCAATATATGCAAATCAATATAATACATCACATCAACAGAATGGACAAAAAACCATTTATGTTCCAATTTATGTTGAAAAAGCATTTGATAAAATTTAACATCCCTTCATGATTAAAAAACTCTCAAAACACTGAGTATAGAAGGAACATACCTCAATACAATAAAAGTGATACATGACAGAGCCACAGCTAGTTTCACAATGAATGGAAAAAAACTGAAAGCCTTTCCTCTAAGATCTGGAACAAGAAAAAGACACTCACTTTCATCTCTGTTACTCTGCATAGTACAAGGAGTCCTAGATAGAGCAATCAGACAAGAGGAAAATATAAAGGGCATCCAACTAGGAAATGAAGTACTCAAATAATCCTTTTTTGCAGATGATATGAAAACCTAAATACTCACCAAAAAACTACTAGACCTGATAAACAAATTCAGTAAAGTTACAGGATACAAAATCAACATTTAAAAATCAGTAGCAATTCTATATGCCAAGAGTGAACAATGTGAAAAAGAAATCAAGAAAGTAACCCCATTTACAATAGTTGCAAATAGAATAAAATACCTCAGAATAAACTTAATCAAAGAAGTAAAAGATCTCCACAGTGAAAACTATAAAACATTGGTGAAAAAAATTGAAGAGGACACAAAAAAATAAAGACATGTTCCATGTTCATGGACTGGAAGAATCAGTATTGTTAAAATGTTCACACTACCAAAAGCAATCTACAGGTTCAATGCAATCTCTTATTAAAATACCAATGACATTCTTCATAGAAATAGAAAAAAATCCTAAAATTTACTTGGACCCACAAAAGACATAGAATAGCCAAAGCTATTCTAAGTTAAAAAAAATGGATAAATCACATTACCTGATTTCAAATTATGCTACAGAGTTATAGTAACCACAACAGTGTGGTACTGGCATAACAACAGACACATGAATCAATGGAACAGAATAGACAACCCAGAAATAAATGCATTCATCTACAGTGAACTCATTTTTGACAAAGATATCAAGAACATATGTTGGGAAAAGGACAGTCTCTTCAATAAATGGTACTTGGAAAACTGGATATCCATATGAAGAAGAATGAAACTAGACCCCTATGTCTCACCATATATATGTAAAAAAATCAAAATGGATTAAAGACTGAAATCTAAGACCTCAAGCTAGAAAGCTACTACAAGAAAACATTGGGAAAACTCTCCAGGGCATTGGTCTGGGCAAAGATTTCTTGAGTAATACACCACAAGCATAGGCAACCAAAACAAAAATGGACAAATGGGATCACATCCAGTTAAAAAGCTGATGTACAGCAAATGAAACAATCCATAAAGTGAGGAAACAACTCACAGAATGGGAGAAAATATCTGCAGCCTATCCATCTGACAAGGGATTAATAACCAGAAGATATAAGGAGCTCAAACAACTCTATAGAAAAAAAAAATCCAATTATCTGATTTTAAAATAGGTGAAAGATCTGAATAGACATTTCTCAAATAAATAAATAAATAAAAGACACACCAATGGCAAACAAGCACATGAAAAGGCACTCAGCATCATTAACCATCAGAGAAATGTAAATCAAACTTCAATGATATATCTCTTCACACCAGTTAAAATGATTTGTATCCAAATAACAGGCAATAACAAATGCTGGTGAGGATGTGGAGAAAAGCAAACCCTCATACACTGTTGATGGGAATGCAAATTAGCATAACCACCACGGAGAACAGTTTGGAGGTTCCTCAGAAAACTAAAAATAGAGTTACCATAGGAGCCCGCAATCCTACTGTCGGGTATATATCCAAAAGAAAGGAAGTCAGTATATCCAAGAGAATACTGCACTCCATTGTCTGTTACAGCGCTGTTTACAATAGCTAAGATTTGGAAGCAACCTAAGTCCATCAACAGATGAATGGATAAAGAAAATGTGATACACACACGCAATGAAGTACTATTCATTCATAAAAAACAATGAGATCCTGTTTTTTGCAGCAACATGGATGGAACTGGAGATCATCATGTTAAGTGAAACAAGCCAGGCACAGAAAGACAAACTTCACATGTTCTCACTTATTTGGAGAAGCTAAAAATTAAAATAATTAAACTATTGAGATAGAGAATGAAATGATGGTTACCAGAGAGGCTGGGAAGGGTATGGGAGGCAGGGGAGAAGTGCAGATGGCTAATGGGTACAAAAATACACTTTGATAGACTGAATAAGATCTAGTATTTGATAGCATAACAGAGTGAGTACAATCAACAATAACTATTGTACATTTTAAAATAACTAAAAGAGTGTAATTAGATTGTTGGTAACACAAAGAAAGGATAAATGCTTGAGGTAATACCCTATATAGCCTAGTGTGATTATTACACATTGTATACCTACATCAAAATCTCATGTACCCCATAAATATATACACCTACTATGTACCCACACAACTTCAAAATTAAATTTAAAAGAAAATAAATATCTCCCTTATATATTGACAATAGGGAAGACAAGGAATTGTTCAAATTGTTCATCTCTTTCTGAGATGCAAACCTCTACCAGAATGCTATTATCTTCATGTAAGGCACTAACTAATTTATTCAAGAAATAGGTACTAAGTCCATGCTATGTGCTTGGCACTGTGCTTCTCTGTACTTACCAATAGAAACTTCAAAGCTGATGGGTTTATCTCCAATCTTCCGGTCAATCATGGTAGCTTCAAAAAATGCTCCAAAGAGTAAAAATTCCTCACATTTTTCTGGTACAATCTACAGAAAGAAAAATAAACTGTTAGGTAGAACTGGCTTCGTTTTCTCATGAGGAAGCTGATTTTGTGATGTTGGCCTCATCCAGCATAATTTATAAACATTTGATCTCTGGTTCAACCTCGAATGGCACAGCATTTCCCCCAAAATCAGACATGTATGAACCAGGATCTGCAAGCTGCAGATTCAAATTCAGTCATTCATCTAGAATGATGCAATCTCAACCTTCTGAGCTTCTACCTCAAAATAAAACTCCTTTTATTTCAACAAATAAACTTGGTGTGAGTATCTTTCTAAGATGCTGCTGGTGAAACACAGGTTGGAATTACCTTCTGGAGATTGGGGTTTTGAAAACATAAAATCAAAGACAAGAAACAGAATTACAGGATAAAATCCTTAGATTTGAGCATAACTTTTTGGCTTACACAAGGTAGTCAGATCATGTTATTTGTTCCTCCTAGCAATCTTAAGAGGTCAAAATTTGGATCATTCCCATTTAACAGATAAAGAAACTGAGGGAACTAAAGCTTAAGGTTGTCAAGTAACTTTCCCAAGTATTCTCACTACAGACCCAGTGCTCTTTGAACTCAAACATGTATTCACCCAATGCATTAACGCTAACCAGAATCAAAGTTTACTCCCCCAAATAAGCAAGCGTGGATAAAAAGAAACAGCAGAGTAGTCACATGTACAAGCCAGTGGCCAATCATGTGTATCCAGGGTGGGGTACATGCACTGGGGTTGCTGCTGTGAGGGGTACACAGGTCCTAGAATTACAGGTGCCTTCATATTAAAAAGGACCTTAGAGTTTATCTACTCCAACCTCTACCTTTTACCTGAATAAACTGAAGCTCAGTGACACTATGCAGCTTCCCAAGGTCACACACAGAAAATTAGAGTCAGCCAAGACTCAGGGCCTGGTTTCCAACAAGACTGCTTTCTCAAGGAGCCCACAGTCTGGAAGACTAGACTCTAACAAGTCCTAAGACAGGAGTCATCATAAGGGAATACACAGTTGTTTGCAAATGACTCTTATTGACAAAGAAAAGGCTAATGTTTCAGGGAGCAGATGTTGCTAGATGCACTGACATAGCTTTATATTTCTGAGCTAAGAGGCTAAGTCAACTGGAGTCATACATTCTGTGCTTCCTGGTTTTGCAATTGGATTTATTGATATCTGCAGAAACGATCATAAGGACAATAAAAGGAAATAAAGCAACTGTGACCCAGGGATCAAGAACTCCATTGAGTCGAGAGTCCTAGACAGGTACCTCAGAGAGCCAAAGGGTTTCCATATTAGGTGAAGGATATCCCCTTCTTTCATACAGGAACTACTGTGGTGCCCGCCTTCCTAGGAAATGCTCCCAGTGACCAGAAAATGTCAAACAGGGTGAGGCTCAGTGCTGGATCTTAGTCACTGAGCATGCCCTCCTCCTACCACTCTATCCACCAACTATCAGCTAGCCTCCTATCTCACTTTATGAGGCTGGGTTTACTCTCTGGAAGGAGGTTAACAAACACAGAGAGAAGCTAGGTGTGGTGGCACATGCCTGTAGTGTTAGCTACTCGGAAGGCTGTGGCAGGAGGATAGTTTGAACCCAGGAGCTTGAGGCCAGTCTGGATAACATAGCAGGACCCTGTTGCTAAAAACAAAAACTGCAAAACAAGGGACTACTAAGAGACCTGGAGGGAATGCAGGCCATGTAGCCCAGGGAGGAATTTCAGGATCCAAAGTCAGGCAAATCCTTCTTCAAATCTCAATCCTTCCACTCCCAGGCTGATTGACTTTAGGCAATTCATGTCTACTCTCTGGGTGTGATGTTCCTCACCTGTGAAATAACCACCATAATTGGGCTTTCAGGGAGGAGAGGGGGCAGAAATGACATCATTCATGTCAAGCACCTAGTAAAAAGCCTACACACATCACCATAAATGGCAGTCAAGATAAGTCTTTCAGCAGGGCAGAACTGATGTCTTAATTCCACCCATCCTACAAGGTTTAACTCAAATACTTTCTATTCTGGAAGCACATTTTGGCTCCTCAAACTGGTAAAATTATGATAGGTAATGTTTACTGACCTCTTACTATGTGTCGGAGACGTATTAAGAATTTTGCTTACATTATCTCCTGTAATTCTCACAAGTACACCAGGAAAGAGGCATTTCTACTTTACTCACAGACGATGACACTGCAGTCCAGTGAGACATTAAGATCTCCATCCAAAATTATTGAGTATAACTAATATTTATTAAGCACTATGTACCAGGCTCTGTTCTGAGCGTTTTTGCATATATTCATTTATCAAATTCTTAATAAGAGGCTGAGAAGCAAGAGGTTATTCTTAGAAATAAGCATAAGGAGTTTAAGTCATTTACTTAGATTCAAATGCAGGCAATGTTTCTCCAGAGGCCAGGCAGTAACCATGGCATCATACTGCCACAATTTACATCCAGATATCTAACTTAGGGGCTTGACATTTTAATAATTATACTTCATTCACTCCAGGACATAAAAGCACTTTATCTGTACCTCCTTAAAGCACTTGCCATTTTCTACTTCCTGTTACATTTATATATCATACCTCTCCTTCTCTATCACAAACTCCATGGAGTTAGGCTCTATTTTTATTCTTACCAATATCAAGGATGACATTTAAATAAGAAGCTACTCAGTTGTGTTCACAGAATTTTTAAATGAACCCATTTTTAGATTGGCTATGATCTGCAAAAATTTGGCACAGGGGAGATAAGCTTTGAGGGTGGTAATGAGGGTAAGTTGACAAAGCCAGCATCATGGGATCTCTCGAGACTGTCCAGATGGGCAATAAAGGTGTGGCTGCAGCTTGGGAGTCTGGAACTTGAGGACCAGCTGAAAACAAGGATACTGTAAGAAAGGGCATCATCATGTTGATGAGGGTGAGCCCTGAGCTGTTGAGGTGTGAGAAAGGTTGAAGTCCAGTGTGGTGGCTTTAAAATATATCCACAAATTATTTGCTAATCTTCCCCTCAAAAAGTAAAGCCTAATTCTCCTCTCTCTGAGGATGGGCTGAACCAAATGATTCACTTCTAACAAAAAGAACATAGCAGACACGTCACTGTGTGACTTCTGTGGCCAGGTCACGAAAGACAGTTTCAGCCTTGCTCCCTCTTGAATCACCTGCTCTGGGGGAAGGCCAGCTGCCATGTCACAGGATCCTCAAGCAGTCAGTAGGAGAATCCACGGAATGAGGATGAGGCCTCCTGTCAAAAGCCAACAAGGAATCACAGCCACCTGCCATTTGAAGGAGCCATCTTCATAGTGGATTCTCCAGCCACAGTCAAACCTTCAGATGATGATGGCCCCTGCCAACACCTTGATGGAAACATCATGAGAGATCCTGAGGCAGAACCACTGAGCTATGCTATTCCCAAATTCCTCATCTACAGAGAAAATAAATCTTTGTTGTTTTAAGCTGCCAAGTTTTGAGATATGTTGTTATGCAGCCATAGATAACTAACAATCCCAACAAGATACTGGCCACAAATAAGAAGCCAAGATGAAGAGAGGAGGGAGGGGAAATAAGGGTTATATAGCGCATGAATTTTACCTCTCCCATTACCTACTGCATAACAATCAAGATACACTCCCACAGCCTGTAGACAAATGTACTTTCTACCCCACATAAGTTCCCAACCTCCCTTCCTTTCTGACTGAATCTACTTCAAGTGTCTTCAGCAAAACATCTTAAAGATATTTTGACTTGGATTAAGAAAATATTTTTCTTTTTTTTATTGTACTTTAGGTTCTGGGGTACATGTGCAGATCATGCAGGATTGTTGCATAGGTACACACATGGCAGTGTGGTTTGCTGCAACCAATGAGAACAAACACACAATGTACCAGAATCTCTGGGACACATTTAAAGCAGGGTCTAGAGGGAAATTTGTAGCAATAAATGCCCACCAGAGAAGTGAAGAAAGATCTAAAATTGACAGCCTATTATCAAAATTGAAAGAGCTAGAGGAGCAAGATAAAAAAAACTCAAAAGCTAGCAGAAGACAAAAAATAACTAAGATCAGAGCAGAACTGAGGAGATAGAGACAGAAAAAAAATCCTTCAAAAAAATCAATAAATTCAGGAGCTGGTTTTTTGAAAAGATAAACAAAATAGACAGATCACTAGCCAGAGTAATAAAAAAGAAGAGGGAGAAGAATCAAATAGATCCAATAAAAAATGATAAAGAGGGTATCACCACTGACTCCACAGAAATACAAACTACCATCAGAGATTACTACAAACAACTCTATGCCCATAAACCAGTAAACCTGGAAGAAATGGATAAATTCCTGGACACTTGCACCCTCCCAAGCCTAAACCAGGAAGAATTTGAAACCTTGAACAGACCAAGAACAAGGGCTGAAGTTGAGGCAGCAATTAGTAGCCTACCCACCAAAAAAAGTCCAGGTCCAGTCAGGTTCACAGCTGAATTCTATGAGACATACAAAAAGGCGCTAGTACCATTCCTTCTAAAACTATTTCAAACAATCCAAAAAGAGGGAATACTTCCCAAATCATTTTATGAGACCAACATCATCCTGATACCAAAACCCGGCAGAGACTCAACAAGAAAAGAAAACTTCAGGCCAATATCCATGATGAACATAGATGTAATAAATCTTCAATACTGCAAACTGATTGCAACAGCACATCAAAAAGCTTATCCATCAGAATCAAGTAGACTTCATTCCCAGGATACAAGGCTGGTTCAACATATGCAAGTCTATAAACGTAATTCACCACATAAACAGAACCAAAGACAAAAACCACATGATTATCTCATTAGCTGCAGAGAAGGCCTTTGACAAAATTCAACAGCCCTTTTATGCTAAAAACTTTCAATAAACTAGGTATTGAAGGAACATATTGCAAAATAATAGAAGCTATTTATGACAAACCTACAGCCAATCTCATACTGAATGGGCAAAAACTGGAAGCATTCCCTTTGAAATCCAGCATTAGACAAGGATGCCCCTCTCTCTGTCACCACTCCTATTCAATATAGTATTAGAAGTTCTAGCCAGAGCAATTAGGCAAGAAAAATAAATAAATAAAGGGTATTCAATCCGGAAAAGAGGAAGTCAAATTGTCTCTATTTGCAAGAAAATATTTTTCTAGCCTCTGTCTACTTGGCAATCCTTGTTTAGAAAAGAATAGACAGCTTCGACCCAAGGCAGGAAAGATGACCACAGGGGTAGATGGAGAAACCAGCATAGGTAGCTACTAAGCCACCCACAACTTCTGGTGAAGTTCTAAGTTAAGTCTGCAAAGCTGGCACATATTCTCAAGAAACACCCCTACGCACAGTCCCATATAGATAATATGAGTTCTAACCACAACAAACTGACACCCACGTTTTCAGATAATATATGAGTTCAGAGAAGAGAACTAGGGAGGTCCACAAAATTTCCAGTCACAAACAGATTGGAAAGCTCTGAATAGCTGCTCCCTGGTGGTGGGAGAAAACCATAGCGACACTGAAAACAGCAAGAAAAATGCATTGCCTGCTTCCTACGTATGTGCCAAGAACTCTGCTAACCATTTTACATGCATTTCCTCATTTAACCCCCAGAAGATGCCTATGGCAGGGTAACTATTAACTATCTCACTTTGTTAATGGGTAAACTAAAACACAAAGAGGTGTTAGTATCGAAACCATTAACTACAACCCCTCTCCCCGCCACCGTCCCACTGCGAGATTTCCAACCCTGAACTCCAACCACTCCCCTAAGCGGTTTCTTAAGATTTATTAGATTCCCAGAAACAACAACAAATGCCTCTTCCAAGGCTAAGGTGACCTGCTGCTATACTTCTTTGGACTGTCCAGCCTCTCCTAGAAATGTACAGCTCTAGGATTCTGATCATCACCTCCCTTCCCTACCCAAAATTATTGCCTAGTTGACCTGAGAAGAACCCTTTTGGAGGCAGAATTAGCCAAGCTGGGAGCTGGAATCTACCTACCTCCACTACTGACAAAACGTGAAGCTCTTTCATTTGCTTAACTGCAAGTTACCATTGATAAAGTAAACAGTAGAGAGAATATTCACCATTCGTATTCCTCTTAGAGTCTCGGATCTCTTTCCCATAAGACAGAACTGGGCTGGGAAAGTGCTCAGATGCTTCATGGTGAGTAATAAGCATTCCCTAAAGTTATGATTTCCCCCACAGCTTTGGGGTAGGGGAGTAGGTTTCTCAATTTCTTATACCCCAGCTTGTCACCTACTCTTACTCCTCTTCATTCCACATCCAAAATTCTCTTCCATCCAGAGCTTACTCTAAGCTAATACAACTAAACAAAATGAGGCCACAGACAGAGTTTAATCAACCCCGTACCACCCACTCCCACCAACTCCTGCACAGCACTTTTATTTCTCCTCACTGGGGTTTCCATGGGAATTATATTTGGGGGAGTAGGGGGTTCAAAAGTATGTATCACAGGCAGATGTCTGTGAAGTGTGCAAAAGGGGGCAGAGGATCAGCCTCAGAACACTGGGCTGGGCCAAGACCAATTTTTCAGGGGGAATAAGACATATGCCCGCAACACCTTCAGGAACCTGTGGCAGGGGCAGTCACTGCTCTGGTTCACCTCACTGGTAAAGTATCATAAAACAGTGCCCAGACCTACCTCTGGGGGGACATCGAAAGGTTCCACCTCCACCTCGGTTGAGTTCGTTTTGTTTGAAGCCTGCTGGGATTTTCCATCATCAGTTTTGTCAGCCTTGTCTTTACCTTTGGAAGATTTGGAATCTTTGTCCTTGGAAGGCAACTTGAACTCCTTCAGGGCCTTGGAAAATTTAGATTCCTGTGCCCCTCCTGAGAGGATTTCCACGGCAATTTCTACCAAGATTCTGCCCCTGAATGACACGCCTTCCCCAAAGCCTTCATTCAGTTCCTGGTAGTCATCCATCAGACTGTGGTTCCTGGGCGAGCCATACAGGTTAATCCAGGCAGGTCCAAAGGTGGGCAGAAAGCCTAGAGAGACCCCAGGTTTTAGTTATCTCATTATGTTTATTACGTTTTTGCCTTATAAAAGTTGCACCAATTCATTTCAAAATGCAGAATATATAAGAAAGACAAAAAATATTTACAGGATATCCCATCACCGAAAGACAACTAGGATTGCTGTCTTGCCTTCTAGTCTTTTTTGCATTCACGTTTACACTTGTTCACAGTTGTACTAATACCAGAAATGCCAATCTGTATTCTGTTCTGTTCATTTATTCATCAAATGTTTGATTCCTCCATGTTCTCCAGTAGGCTCTATGTTTAGCATCTAGCAGGGTACATGTGCCAGGTATCATGCTAGATGCTAAACACAGCCTGTTGGAGAACAAAGCAGGTGTCAACATTAAACAAATAAATATTTACAGTGCAAACACTATGGAGGAAATACGCTTTGTGCTGCAAGAACAACTAACAGGCTGAGGTAGCATGGGGGGAAGTTAGGCAGGCAAAGAAAAGAGTGTGTGTGTTCTGGCTAGAGGGAGCAGCACGTGCCAGTTAGAAAGGAGCTTGGAGCTACAGACAAACTGTGTGGGAGAGTTTGGAGAGGTAGGTGGGTCTTGGGGCCTTGATTAAAATTTTGCTCTTTATCCTAAAGACTACAGAAATGTTTTAAGGGGATTTAAGCAAAGAAGTGATATAATCGTATCTCTTAAGATCACTCTGGCTGTTACATGAAAGGTTAGAAGAATGAGTATGTGGTAATTGGTTCAAGGACCACTTTGTCATCAAAACTGAAGACCAGCCTCTTGAACTAGGGTGGAGGTAGTGGAGACTGACATAAGTAAATGTTTCAAGATATGTCCTGAACATAGAATCGAAAAGCCCTGGGGATTTGAACTCACTGCTGATACAAGTATTTTCCCTTCTTAATACATAGTAACTGAGAATATGCAGTGTCTATGGGAACATCTCTTTGGCAATATCTCAATGACAGGCAATACAGCCTGGTGGCTCTGAGGCCTGAGTTCAAATCTCAGCTCTGTTATGTTTAAGCTATATGACCTTGGGCAGTTTTTTAAATTTCCCATGCTTCAGTTTTCTCGCCTCTAAAAGGGAGATGCTAATAGTACTTGTCTCATCCATCAAATTAAAAGAAACTATCAATTGAGTGCTTTACACAGGCCCTTAGGAAGTGCTATGAATATAGGCTATTATGAAAAAGCAAATACATCACAATCTGCTTAATGATCCCCCACTGTTGACAATTAGATGTTTCTGTATATTTTACTGTTATCAATAGTTTTATGCCTACACATTCCCTATGCCCTACTCCCATAGACTGGATTCTAGCCCTCCTGTGAGTAGACTTAGAGAAGTAAGAACGTTGTATTAAAATGGATAGAAAGATTTTATAGTCCTGATGTCTATATTTTAAACCACTAATATTTTAAACCACTTCTGGAATGCCATCAAGATGCTCCTGAAAGGTTGTAAATAAAACGTTTACATCTAATTGAGAAACTGTATAGAGGGGCTGAGTGTACTTTCTGCATAAAGCAATCTTGTGGTAAACACTTCTATAATGTCAAGATTTAGACAAAGGTATTTATGGTGTTCTCTCTCTGGTATCTGTTAGGGACATAAAAATGTGTAAATCTTATTCTCTGCTCTTGACACACCTTTAGTCTAATAGAGGAAAAAATTAAAATCTTTACATTAACTTCATATACAGATGATATGTGATATATTAATAAATTATACATGTATATATTTGCTTGTACATATATGTGTGATTATATGTAGATACATATGTATGTATGCTAAAATGTCAATTTGTATAAATTTGTAGCACAGAGGAAGATTGCCTGGGAATTTAAAGAAGGAAGGGTTTGTTGGCTTTTTAGAGAATTATCATCTACTAATTTGGGTTTTGCAAATAAAGAGCCATATACTGAGTTGAAATTCTTCTACCCGACCTCTGTCTGGCTGGCTCGGTGGATTAGCAGGGGCTCTCAGCTCTCTCCTTGGCTCATGCACAGTCAGTGCACCTCCCTGCTATTCCTTCACTCTCATGCTCCCATCAGTGGTTTGAAGATACAATTTTTGTTGGTACCATTTATCTTGTGGGTCATACTAACATATGTAGTAGGCCATATTTGGCCCATAGATCTTAATTTACCAATGTCTGATTTACTCTAAACGTCTCATTTTTCCATTATGGGAATACTGACTTCCTCAAGGATACATAGCAGTGTTTGTGGAAGACCTGGGACAAGGAACAAACCTCCTGCCTCCCAGAGCCTGACTTCATCCATTGCCCTGAACCAAGTCAAACCACAGACCCTACAGTAGCATGGAAATTGCCTAACACATGGAAGGTGCTCTAACCCAGGGTCCCCTAAACCCCCAGGGCCATGGGTCAGTACCCATCCTGTTATGAATTGGGCTGCAAAGGAAGAGGTGAGCAGCAGGTGAGTGAGCATTACCACCTGAGTTCCACCTGTCAGATCAGCCGTGCCAATAGATTCTCATAGGAGTGCAAACCATATTGTGAACTGCACATACAAGGGACCTAGGTTGCATGCTCCTTATGAGGGGGCTCCCAATGCCTGATGATCTGAAGTGGAACAGTTTCATGCCAAAACCACCTCCTACCCATCCATGGAGAAACAGTCTTCCACAAAACTGGTCCCTGGTGCCAAAAAGGCTGGGGACCACTGCTATCGCCCATGCCTTTTAAAGATGAGGGCTCTAAAGCAATTATTTTGAGACACTTTCAAGTCAGATGGGTGGGACTTTACCTTTGTCTCCCTCCTGTTCATTGGAGATTTTCTTCAGGTCAATGAAATGGGTTGCCAGTGCTATGTCATTCATGCTGCCTTCATCCCACACCTGGATTTTCACCCTCCGACACAAGGGAGGGAACATTTCCTTGAAGATCACCTGTTCATGCCACACAGGATCAGCACAGTTCTTTTGCACTGTGGTTCTCCCCTAAAAACACACCCAGGAGGACATGAGTCATGGAAGGGAGTGACTGACTACAGAAAACTCTTCAAGTCAGTTGGAAATACAAGGCGAGTTGTCAAAGATAAGGAACCTGTGTCTGACACCCATGAAAATCAGTTACACTCAGCAAACATGACTGATGACCTACCTGCTCTGTGCTGGACACTGTGCCAGGCATCTGGGACAAAGGCAAGTCACAGCCCTGCCCTCAGGAAGTTCTAATCAGCATATTGGGGTTGGGGTGAAACTAACACCCATATTACAAACAGTAGTTCTGTGCATCCCCAGGAATGCAATGGATGTAGTTAGACCATGAGGCTCATGTTTTGTAGAAGTATGACCTTATGTGAATCATTTTTCCAGTCTGGACCTCAGTTTCCTTGTCATAAAATGGAGGTGATATCTTATATGATCTCTCAGCCCAAGTCAAAAACACTTCAGCGTTCACCCCTGCCAAGGGGAGACAATCAGGGTAGGACTGTATTTTAATGGCAGAGATAACATGTGTGTCAGTTGAAGCTTCAAAATCCAGCCAACTGGGGTTAATCTCTGACCACATACCCAGGCCTTGACACTTCCAGTGGCTCCTGAGCAAGAAAGAGCAATGCCCAGGCTTATGTAGGACAAAGACTACCTGGAGGAGATTGTGGAACTGGTCAGGAGGTGGGTGGAAATTCTACAGGACCTGGGGACTGAATAAACAGCTCAGAGAAGTAGCCGGGGGTGAGGAAGGATGCCTGTCTGCCTGGATCCTAAACCACAACCCACTGATAGCTCCTTTCCATTTTCTCCAAGACTGAGTGGGTAACCCCCGCCATTTCCCTGCCACATCCCGTTGCCCTTTTTTTTTTTTTTAAGACAGAGTCTTGCTCTTTTGCCCAGGCTGGAGTGCAGTGGTACAATCTCTCCTCGCTGTGACCTCTGCCTCTCAAGTTCAAGCAATTCTTATGCCTTAGCCATGCAGTAGCTAGGATTACAGGCATATACCACCACACCCAGCTAATTTTTTTGTGTTTTTAGTTGAGACAGGGTTTTGCCATGTTGGCCAGGCTGGTCTTGAGCTCTTGGCTTCAAGTGCTTCAACCACCTCAGCCTCCCAAAGTGCTGGGATTACAGGCATGAGTCACCGTGCCTGGCCCCACTGCCTTTTTGTGACAAGCTTTTGCTTTCGAGGCTCTTCCTAATTTTTATTTTATTTGATTTGATTAAACATATCTTGGATAGAGAGCAGGGCTCTGGCCCAGGCCTGCCAGTATTGGGAACAATGATTGCTCACCGTCTGCCCAGCAAAGGACACCTCCACAAAGGGGTCCACCAGGTCCTTACTGTCTCCCACAAATGCCTTGGTGACATTTGCCATGATGCTCGAGTTCATTTTGGGCAAACCTTCTGCTTTGTAGAGTCTCACATAGAATCTGGCCCAGGGTCTCTCTGATGGGAACCCTTCAGGGATCAAAAGGTTCCTTAGGGTGGACAAAAACAAATGAAAATGCTCTCTCAATTGAAGAAACAGAGAAAAGGCAAGAGAAATTTGGAGGAAGAAAGATAGATCCCGACATAAGATAAAAGTCTGAAGAGTAAGATTCATTGCTGAAACAAGTTTTCTTTCTAGTGTGAATGACAGAAAAGGGTATGAATAGAGTGTATGCAAACTCATTCAGATCCTAGGATGATGGAATAAATACTGTCTCCCATTCTGAACCTTAGAAGAGGTGTCTTCCCACATCACAAACTGGTGATTGAAATTATAATTCCTTCAAAGAAAATTCAACTACATTAAGAAAAAATAGATAAGCCTAGGAATAGTTTATCTATCATGGGTTATAGGAAGACAGACAGTTCTTGACCTAGAACCTGACCTCCCGAAGGAGAGTCTCACCTTAATAAGACACATCTTGGCATCTGATAGAGCAGAATCCCAGGTGGCCAAGCTGAGAACAAGCACGGTCCTCATGTACCCATAAGTAAAGGGGAGAGGGAAGAGAAAGAGACTAAAATTGAACATATCATTTCTATGCACAGCCCTGAATGGGCTTGTCTCACTTTTCTATTTGCTCCTCAGCATCAGAAGTTTTAGGGTTGGTCTTCAAGACGTCGCCTTTCCCCATCACACTGATGTCACATTTCAGGTATCCCTTGGTGCCCGTCCTGATGTCGCCAGGGTCTGTGAGCAGGGCCCACTTGTCGCAGAACTGATGACCTGTGAAAGCACCCCGACAGCTCACATTCTTCGTCCTTCACAAATGGGCCCAGCAGCCCCACTCCTTTTTCTCCCATGTGCCGAGGCCTCCCAGGCTCTCCCCGCTCTGTTGCTCTGGGTGGTAAAACACCTCAGTTATCTCCAAACCTCATGTTGCTTCCCTCTTCCTTTCCCTCCTCTCCCTTTGCTTCCCACCAGTTCTCCATCTTTTCTGCCAATTTACCACAGATACTTAGGAAGCCATTGACCTAGTGGAAATCACTGAGACAGGGTTCCAGCCTTGATGGGAAGGAAGACATTAATGAAGTGTATAAGTCACATACATATTATGTACCTATGGGACGTAAATGTGGCTCCTAGGTCTTTTTGTTTGGTCTCACTGTAAGTCAAAACTTCCAAGATGGCTTACATAATCTAGACTTTTAGCTTATCTTTAAAAATGGCTAGTTCTGGCAATACTGGCTTCTCATTTCTTTTCTTTTCTTTTTGAGATGGAGTCTTGCTGCAATGCCCAGGCTGGAGTGCAATGGCATGATCTTGGTTCACTGCAACCTGTTCCTCCCATGTTCAAGCCATTCTCCTGCCTCAGCTTTCCAAGTATCTGGGACTACAGGCATACACCACTATGCCCAGCTAAGTTTTGTATTTTCAGTAGAGACGGGGTTTCACCATATTGGTCAGGCTGGTCTCGAACTCCTGACCTCAAGTGATCTGCCCGCCTTGGCCTCCCAAAGTGCTGGGATTATAGGCGTAACCCACTGTGCCTGGCCACTGGCTTCATATTTCTACATGACAGAAAACACTGAAGGCGCTGAGTATCCACAGTCCTTGTACATGGAGCACAAGCCCTCGTCTCCTTTCCCACAGACTCCATCATTCTTTATGCCTCCCACCCAGGCTGCTGCACACAGCTATGCTCACTGTCTGGCCCCTGCAGTCATGGGAGTTAAGGTCCCTGCTGAAGATAAGGGGCCTTTCATAAGAAGATCTCTGCTGGCTCTGTTACTTATTTGCTCTTGACCTTGAATAAATTACCTAGCTTCTCTGAGTTTTTCTTTCCTACAATCAGGGGTAATAGTTATAGCAAATCCTTATACAAAATGCTGTAGTCATTATTATGCGCGAGACTCTTTACTAAGCACTTTGTATACATTAACTTACTCAATCCCCCAACAAACCTATGAAGGAAGTAGTATGTTATCCTCATTTCTACAGATGAGGAAACTGAGGCCCAGAGAAGTTAAGTCATTCACCCAAGGTTGCACAGGGAGGAAATAGAGTGAGATTTGAACCCAGCCAATCTGACTCCAGAGTTTGTATCCTTAGCTCCTATATTCTATTGCTTCTCCTGTCCATATCTCAATTGGACAGAATTTGTGTGAGAAAAAAAAAAGAAACTCCCCAGAAGTAGACATGTAAAATAATTTTATCATTAGACTGTAAAATATTTGAGGGCAAAAGTCATGTTTCATTCAAGTTTGTATAACTGGTGCTCAGTGTTACTGAATGAATGGGATGACCTCCAGGTTACAAAGGTAAGTGAATGAATGGGATGACCTCCAGGTTACAAAGCTAAGTGAATGAATGGGATGACCTCCAGGTTACAAAGGTAAGTGAATGAATGGGATGACCTCCAGGTTACAAAGGTAAGTGAATGAATGGGATGACCTCCAGGTTACAAAGGTAAGTGAATGAATGGGATGACCTCCAGGTTACAAAGGTAAGTGAATGAATGGGATGACCTCCAGGTTACAAAGCTAAGTGAATGAATGGGATGATCTCCAGGTTACAAAGGTAAGTGAATGAATGGGATGACCTCCAGGTGCTGTAAACCAAAGAAAGGTAAGAGAGAGATGGGGAGGTGATGCTTTCTTACCAGGTTGGTTGTATACGGTCCCCAGATCTACTTTGAAAGAGCCAATCAGTACACTTCCTATCAGCTTGTGGTGAAAGACCTAAGGAGAGATGGAGCAGAAAGTATGGCAGATTTCCTTCAGGATTAAGAGGACTTTTGTTCCCACAGTAGTATTTAATATCCCCTATAGAAAATTATAAGAAAAGGAAAATACTTCATTTTCTTCAGAAACTATGTATTGATACTTTCTTGAAAATGGAACTTTTGCTTAGAAGATGTAAAAAAAAAAAGAGGCCTTGACCCTTGTCCAGCTTTGACCCTGTCTGGAGCACAGTGGAGTTTGGCCATCAAACCACAAGGCTGTAAAGGACCTCCAGAAGCCTCTCACCTTCACCTCTTGCTCTTTGCAGGATTTGAGCTATTCCTCCTTAGAAGGATGCCTGAAAACTCAGTGCCTGCATATTCCTTTAACCAAAATGAACCTGAGTACAGCTCACCCTTCAATACCCATCTCTTCCTGTCAAAACTTTCCCTATCTTTCAATACCTAGAACATATGTCACCTCCACCATGCAGCCCTCCCTGATCCCCCAAACTGGAAGTGTTTCTTTTCTCCCCTAAACTTTGCTCACAACTTTCTTAGAGAACTCATCACCTATTGCCTTGAGTCATTATGGGCATTAACAACAGTGAGAACAAAGGAGGTGATCACCCTCAATATTCTGTCTGATCAGGGCCAGCAGAGGACCTGGCTTGATTACAGCAGCCCATTTTTATGCTAATGCTCTCATGATGAGGAAGTTCTAAAGGAAGATGCAGAGCTGGTGCCAGGTTGAAAAGCCACAACATATGAGAAACTGCTGAAGAACCAGGAAGGAAGTTCAACCTTTCACCCATAAAAGAGAAAACTGGCCGGGTGCGGTGGCACACGCCTGTAATCCCAGCACTTTGGGAGGCTGAGGCGGGTGGATCACGAGGTCAAGAGATGGAGAACATCCTGGTCAACACGGTGAAACCCCGTCTCTACTAAAAATACAAAAAATTAGCTGGGTGTGGTGGCGCGTACCTGTAATCCTAGCTACTCGGGAGGCTGAGGCAGGAGAATTGCCTGAACCCAGGAGGCGGAGGTTGCGGTGAGCCGAGATCGCACCATTGCCCTCCAGCCTGGGTAAGAAGAGCAAAACTCCGTCTCAAAAGAAAAAAAAAAAAGAAAATTGGCAGGTGTGGAAAAGTGGCAATGGCAACAGAAGCGTCTTTAAACCATGTAAATGCGGCCATGCAGGAGAGAGTAGGGTCCCCTCTATGGTTCCCAAGTAACAGGATGAGAGATTTCCACTCAATATAAGAACAATGTCTATAACTGTCAGAACCTCCCAGCAATGGAATGAGCTTTCCTAGAGGTCATGACCTCCCTATCACTGGAAAAAAATCAAGTTATGCCCCAAGAACTCCAAGTAGTAGAGGAAGTGGATAAGGATTCTTGCACTAGTTGGAAGTTATACGAGATATCCTCTGAGCTTCCTTCTAACTATAAAATCCTGTAAGTTCCTTAACTCAGGACAGTTTCTTCCTGCCTTTCACGCATCACATGGCCTTGTTCACAATAGATATTCAAGGAATATTCAGCGAATTAATGAATGATTGACTAATTCAATGACAAATGAATGGAAGGCTTTTGCAGCTTCTAAACAGCTCCTTTTTGCTGAAGCAAAAAGAAATTTAGTTGATCTGAGGAAATGACAGCCCTCCTCATTTCTCTATCCACTCTCTCTCTCCCTAACCTAAACTTTCCACAGGTGTCAGAGACCCGAGGTGAAGTACAGGCAAGCCGGCTCAATGCTCGCTCCCAAATCCACCATGCTTGCAGCTGCTCATGTGTCTTCCCAAAGACCTGAGGAAGAACAGAAGCCAGTCTCAAGTTCTCTTCTCAGGTTGAGAGTCCCTGTGGGCAAGATTGAATACAAGAGCCCCAAACAAATCTTTAAATAACACAGGATGCCTCTTAAAGTCATCCATCCAGTGGCTGAATACCAGGTAACCCTGGTGTGGTCAAGCGTTGAATCACCAAGACTCTGGGGATGTCTCACATTCCGAGTACTGAGAGCCCTGCATGCCTTGGCCACTGTGAAAAGAAGACTGTCTTTGGCACCACCAGGGTGTGTTACAGGCTGGCTGTCCCTATAGCATCTGCTCACAGCACTCCCCCACGTCTTATCCCATGGTGAATATATTCTGGGCACACAGACTTTCAGTTCATGGACTAACAGAAAAGTTGGGTTAAACATTCCTCTCTCAAGGGAAGATTTTATTTTAAAATATTTTGTCTAAGAGTCTTTCAGAGACACCAAAATCTCTTCTTCCATGTTAGAGAAACAGAGATAGCCAATAGCAGCTTTGATCATTAGTCTAAAAGTCCACATGTCCCACAAACAGTCCTGACCCTAGTCTATGGCATAGTATGAAAATCTAGTGATTAACTTCTTATCAGACACAGTCCTTAGAAGCCTCCTATGGAGCTGATTCCACAAACAGGTGGCTGCCTGATGATGGAACAAAGTCCTAGGCATTGTCGCAGGTCCTAAAATATCCCTGTACTTGTCATCATGCCTGAAATTCAAACCTTAAGACTGTTTGGCTCTCAGTGACTTCTCATTCTTCAAGAGTCACATTCTTCAAGACTCCCAGGAAGGGTAATGTCATAATTCCATTATTACCTAGGCCATAATGCAGGACGTTGCTGACAGTCAGCTGTGGTTAAAGGGAACGTATTTCATATATCTGTTTAGATATTATATGGAGTCAGTGGTAAAGACAGGGAAGGAAATCTTTAGATCAAGGTTTGACATCCTTGCAATTCTGATTAGAGTTGGTATGACTGTAGAGGAAATCATTCCCTCATTCTCCAGACTTCCTATGCTGACTCATGGCATAGGAACCGTGTCCTTTCAGAATTGTTTGCAAGAGAGAAACTTACTATCCAGCTCTCCTTCCCCACCTTGGGAACAGCCGTGGTGATCTCTCAGACCGGTAAGATAGATGCAGTCTGATCCACTGGTCTCTGTCCCTTTGCTGAATGGTGTGAAGTTTCTAACAATCCCATTTGGCCTGACTTCTCTCTCATTTGGACAAGTCTGACTTCAACATAGGCAGTTCCCCTTCCCATTCCTGTCCTCCATGTGGTGGGCAAACTCAGACTGGGCCCTTAGAACAGGAAGCGTTGTCTCTGCATGTCCCCTGGCAGGGCTGAGGAAGGGTCTGTGCAGCTGAGTCAACTTCCCCAAGGGCAGTTTCTGAGGTCTACACTCAGAGGCAACTTTAGAAAATCCCAATGGCCACCACTTAGTCCATATCCTCTGATCCAGCATTACCACTGATGACACTGATTTTTTCCCCCTGATTCCTGTTCCTATTTCTTTATTCATTACCCAACTAGGAGAGCAAGGGGATATAATTAATGATCATTCGTGAAGATGTCAGCCCAAGAGAGAAACATGAACATTTGCTTGATTAAAAGAAACCAACTAAAACTGGCAATGCTTTAAGATGTCACTTGAAGCATATGTTTCACATTCCCACACTAGTAAGCTCCACGATTCAATCAATAATAGCTTTACAGTAGCTTACCACTCACTTCCAAGAAGCATAGATTTTCTTGAGGTGGTTTTTCTTCCCAGGCTCCTCCATACTGGTGATTTCAAGTTCTGCATGTTGGTTACAAACTCACAGATTCACACTTGCCATTGGAATCTATCCACCTCTAAGCATGCTGAGTTGTCCCAGAGAGTTCCCAACACCTAGAATCTCTCCCACCTCTCAGCAACAATCAATACCAATGCTATACTTACTGAGATTTTGATGATCTTGTCAAAAAGATGTACTTGGGGCCCAGTGAAGTCGAACACGAAGTACTGCAAAACAAAAAGTTCCTTCTGGCCATCAACCCCACACTTGCACCCAAGAATCCCGTTCTTGGAGTGGGTTTAGATCTTTGTCATTCTAACCAACTGCTGCATGAATATACATCATCAATTGATTGTCAATCCCCCCATACACACTTTTTTGAGACAGGGTTTTGTTCTGTTGGCTAGGTTGGAGTGCAGTGGCATGATTGCGGCTCACTGCAGCTGCAACCTCCCAGGGTTCAAGTAATCCTCCTACCTCAGCCTCCTGAGTAGCTGGGACTACAGACCTATATCACCACACCTGGCTATATATATGTTTTTTTGCAGAAACAGGGTCTCACCGTGTTGCCCAGGCTGGTCTCAAATGAAAAGAATGCCATCAATCACATTCTTGCATAGGATACATGTGAGTAATCCTCCAAAATGAACATGAGAAGTGAAATTGTTGGGTCATAGATTAAGTGCATGTAACTTTTGAATAGGTAGAATAACTTTTTTCCCAAATGGGCATTTTATATTCCTACTGGTAGCATATGAAAATAGCCATCTCTCTATAATCTTACCAACCCTTGATACTGTTAGTTCTTTTCACTTTTTGTTTATAATTATGAGTGAAAATGGTATTTCAGTATGGTTTTAAATTGGGGTGGACTTGATTAAAATCTACTTTTCCCAGAATTTTTCAGTTTTAAACATCCCTGTGAAATTACCAGAATTTACTACAGAGAGAATACAAAAAAAGTTATAGACATGGGGATTTTTAATATTAAGAACACGATTTAATTTTAGAGTTGGAGAAATTATCTAGACCAGCCCATGTTTTACAGATAAGAAGACTGAAGACTAAAGAATTTAAAAGTGACTACCCGGGTTCCTATTGCTAGTTATTGCTGGGCCTGGGACCAAACCTTAGTTCTCTTGACATTATCACACAAGGGGTTCAAGTACTAGATATTTCACCATCTGACTCTTGAGTCAAGATCCTCCCAAACTCGAGGTTGTATGATTAAAAGATACAGAAAACTGAAGTTGTGTGTTGTCCTGGTTTGTGCATTTTGGGAATTGAAGGGGATCAGGAAGACAGGCCTGGGAAGTTGTTTCTTGGATTGTTTTTCTTTTTTCTTTTTTGGAGGAATGGCCCCTTAGAGATGGACATGGTCACAGTAGGAAAGGAGGAACTGACCAAGTGCTGATGGCCTGCTTTCAAAGGGCAAAACAGAAAAACCAAAATGTGGAAGCTGAAAGATGTCATCAGACACTCTAAGAGCTCCTCAAAATGGTGGGTTTTAGAGATCAACCAAAGATTCCATTATGGTCAGTGTCTTCTGTTTAAGAAGACAGGACAATACATATAACAGTTCAAGAAATTTCTCATATATATGCTTAAACTTTTTCAGAGTTCTAGTGTTCAAAATTTATGTGGAAATTCACTTACACAAAATTCTCCATTCTCTGAATATACCAGATGCTGTGGTTTCCTTTGGATGGACAAATGAGTTGCATAATTTATTACCTTCTGCTGGGTTACATATGTTTCACACTCCACTGCCTCACATAGTCTCCCACAACTCCAGGCCAGCACACATTCTAGCTGGGAAATGCTCCCCTGCCCCAACTAGTGGGTTCCTTCAGCACCTGATAAACTTTGGGCTTGAATATTTAGGTCAAGGGTTGTAACAAAGGGTTTTAGTTCAACTTTTGTGTTTCTGCTTGATTTCCTACCAATTACACTTGGGCCCAGTTAAATGTCATTTAGATCCAGGACTTGTAGGCATAATTATTGTAATTAGTAAATCTGTGGAGCTTTGCAGTTTTAAAGCATTTTCATATATTATCTCATATTACATCTATGCCAAAAGCTCTTCTGAGATTAGACAGAATAAGAAGGCAAAATCTACTGACATTTCACTCATAGTTAAAGGCTCTGAGGCAGAAATGATGAAGAGGAAAAGAGTCATTAGTTCCAATGGGATTTGGGTATTTTCTGTTGATTTCATTATCCATGCTCTCCCTGCCCTCTTTTTAAATTACCACTCCCATTAAGTTAATAGGAATTAAGAGTGTACTGCATTTTTTTTGAAATAATTCATTGTGTCAAAGTTCTTACAGGAAAACAAATGCTTGTTACCTCTTTGAAAGGCAGTTGGCAACATGGAAATTTTAAATGCATATACCTTGTGACCCAGTTATACTATTATAAGTAGAAACAAAAGGTTGAAAGCATTTCATATTTATTCATGAGAGACTGACTGGTTTAGTAAATTATGGCATATCAAGGCAATGGAAAACTTTTCAGCCAGGAAGCAAAATGAGAATGAGCTGGACCTCCCATAGGGATTTATTTTCAAGACACATTGTGAAGAGTCCAGAACAGTATGTATAGAATGGCATCATTTGGATACAATATTTCCTTGTATTCTGGTACATGCTTGGAATATCTCTGGAAAGATACACAAATGCCTAGTGAGAATGAATGCTTCCAGGGAGAGGACTAGGGACTGGGAATCAAAGATCAGAGAGAAACACGTTACTCTATATCATGGTCTACCTTCTGTCTCTTTTGCCACATATTTTTTTAACCAGGTAATGTTTTTATTTTAAAAAGAGAATTTAGCCTGTATGATATTTAGAAACCTGATATTTGCCTTTACAATTTTTATACAGCTTAGAAAAATGTAACTTTTACTTTCCAAGGCAGTAGGCCTATTTCAAAAACAATAATTAAGTTTCCAATGTCTGTGCCAGGAAAAAAAATGTGTATCTTCTTCCTAATCAACATTCAATCAATTTACTGACTATAAACCCAGAGCTCATAATGGATGAAAATGAGCTGAAAAGAAATAAGAAAATGTGTGTTGAAAACGTAGCAATGAATTTAAAATTTGGAGGAATTTCTTGCCTCTCCTTTCCATCACCTTTTTTTGTGGGAAGCTTTAGGAGGGTGTGTTTGTAAAGAGACTCAGCAAGCTTGCCATGAGCTTAAATGGTGGCCTGGGAGGGAGGCAGGAGGGACACAGCTCTTCTACTTGACTGAAGAATCCTGCAGAATGGTGGTGAAGAGAATGTTATTTGCAAAGACCGTGGGTGACCTCCATGACTTACTTCATTATAAAATGGGCTGTTGGTTCCTTCCTTCACTGTGCTTTGCTTCTTCTCATCCCCAATCTCAATGGTCACAACTGGGTCAATGTTCTCACCTACCAGCTGGCGAGCCTCGGTGATGGTTATGGCAATCTACAGCACAAGGTAGTGTGGACACCATTTCAGATATCGCCATCCATGCACACAGGAAACACTGAGCGAGGCTGGGCAGGAAGAATCAGTCACTTACTTGATAATTTTGGGATCTGACCTCCCCATCATGGATCTTAGTCAACAGTTTTGATCTATTAAAAGAAAATTTAATATACTTGTTTCATCAAGCAAGAATATCCATAAGCCATGATAATATTCTGCCAAGTATTTCTAGGTCCTTTCATTTAATATTATTACATACTCTCTCTACATCTCTGGCGGAGATAAGTGGACAAATGACTTGACCCGTGAGTTTTTCCATTCTAAAAATGGAGTTTATAATAGCACTTCTGAGATGATTGCTAGAACCAAACGATATAATATATACAAAGGTTTAACCCAGTGCCTGGCAAGAATTGATGTCAGCTCTTGTTATATGATTATCAGTATTTTTAAACAAAATGAGAAACTGAGATGTCTCAGCAAATCAGTGGCAGAGCTGGGTCTAAATAAGGAATTCCCAGCCTCCTGCCTGATTCCATACCCAGGACTACTTTGTCATGTCTAACAGATACAATTCAGAGTTTCATGACTGCTTTTGAAAGAATTGGTAGAGGAAAAAATTGAAAGGAATAACTAAAAATGCCATCTTCATGAGATTTCACATGCCAGGGGATTTCATTTATCTAGACAGTCACAAGTAATTGAAAACAGATGGGCAACACCTGGGCATTTAGAGACTGATAACAACAGAAAGAGACAAAGAATCCCTGTCGTCAAGAAGCTGACATCAGTGGGAAATGAACTGAGCTTGAGTTCCTGATGTGTTTTGTCCTCTTGGTTACTAACAATACCATGCTGCATTTGACTTCAACCCATTTCTGCTGATAATTTGGTCTAATAGAGAACAGATTAAGCTAGTAAAAATCTCAGAGCTTTGGAGCCAGACTGATCTGAGTTAGAGTATTTATTCTCCCCAATTTTAGACTTTAGTTTTAATTTCCTCAACTGAAATAAAAACAAGAATTCCTACCACATAGGGTTACTCTGAGGATTCAAAGAGAAGATGCATGTAGAAAAGGGTAAATATCATTTAATGGGTCCATCAACAAGGTAGTACATTTGTACTGATTATTTATTATGTGAAAGCCCAGTGCGAGACTCAGAGGAAAAACAAAAATGAGTAAGCCATCTTCATCTTCTGGTCCTCAAGAAGTTACAAGCAATCTACCGTCGATGGGAGAGAAGAGAAAAGTGTATTAAAAAAGAACTAGCAGGCAAGTGTAAAATGTGTCATAGGGAAAAGAAAATATGAAAGAAGAGATGTTGAGAAAATATTTTTGAGGACCATGGTATGCAACAAAGATTTCCCTGCAGCGGTTGGATTTGAATTGAGCATTGGTGGGTGGGTAGAATTTCAATTGCTGGAGAACGTTCTGACCAAGAAAAAAGAGAAAGGCTATTATCCTTACTTCTCTTTCTCCTACCTTCCTCCATTCAATGCTATCACCCTGGTAAAATAAATGGCAAGAAATGTCTTGAGTATTAAAAAATAATTGAAATCCCTGCTCAGGGGCTAGGGTAGAGGGGTGGTGGTTGTCAGGGAGCAACAATGGAAGGAAGGAGATAGTGCAGTGAGCAGGTGTGTACACATTTCATTCTTTTGAGTGTCAGCTTCTGAGTTATCACCTTCCCTAATTCCCACTGCCCTCTGCCTCAAACATACGCACCCTGAGATCCTGCCACACCCAGAAATAACAACTAGGATCAGCCACATAAGGAAGGACTCATTTGTTTTATTGATAGTAACAACTTTGAATGGAAGAGAAAGGGAAGGGCATGAGGAATGATCACAAGTAAGAAATTGACATAAACAAATATGGTAGACTGAAAGCACTGCTAGCCCCAGTCATTGGCTTCTCTGTATTCAAACTTGTGGCCCTGTAACTGTTAGTCTCTTCCTATTGCTACGTGGGCTGGCCTGGTAACTTGTATTGGCCAATAGAATGCAGCACAAGTAATTTTTGCCAGTTCCAAGCCTACACCTCAAGAGACCTTCTGTACTTTCATTCTCTTAGAACACTGCCATTGCCACCATGAGAACAAGCTCAGACTAGCTTGCTGGAGGACTTGGTATCATGCAGAGTAGAGCCAGTGGTCTCAGCTAAAGCTGTACTAGGCCAGGCTACCACCAGCCAACTTCTAAACTAAAGTGAGTCAGCAAAGCTGCCAAAGGACTACAGAAACATGAATGATACATCTGCAACTATCTGGGATCAGCAAAACTCTCCAGCTAATTCATGAGCAATAATAAATGCTTATTATATTAAGCCACAGATTTGGGGGCTCTTTGTTATACATCATTGCTAACTGATACAGCAAAATACATGCAGAAGGCCAGCTTGCTTTGACTTTCTGTTGGGTAGCATAAGAACCACCTTCTCATTTGAAACAGACAAGAAGCTAAGATAATGAGCACCTTGATGAATCAAAGAGCAGGTAAGAGGCAGCTCCTGCTGTCATTCCTGAACTATGAGTGACATTAGCACCTTCACTCAGGAGATTTAGGACCAAAAGTTTGTAGAACCACGATCCTGGCCTGATGAAGGCTGAACAGTATCTAGAGGCCAGCACTGCCATAGAGAAAACTGAGCTGATACAGTCCTCCTGCCTTAGACCTTGCCTCCCTGTAGACAGTGACTATGTCTTACTCCCCCTCTTCTCCCAGCGCCTGCAGTGGTGCTTGGCACATAGGAGATGCTCAGCAAATGTGTGTCGACCACCTGCATCAATACTGTACCTTCTCTTTGGAGAAGCTGAGGGGATAGGAAAGATAGAAGAAGCATCATTATGGACCAAATCTCCTGGTCCTTCCTGGTGAGAAGGCTCCTCCTGTGGTGCTTCAGTGTCACCTTGACTATCTGGAGAAGCAAACAAAGGAATAAAATCCTGTTAAATTGACACATGGTGGCAATTGAGCCTCTACCCTATGCCAGCACCATAGCAGTCACCGTAAGTGGTACAAGGAGACTACAAGGCAGACCCTCCCAGCATAAAACTTAACATCTTATTGGTAGAAATGCCAGATACATTCTTCATTTTTAAAAAAACTTTTGCATCTTCTGTTTCCAAAAAAAAGAACAGATTTATCTGAATGGGATTGTGAAAAGAAAAATTAGATTATGAATCTGAAGTGTAAACTAAAAATAAAATCCTAAGCAACCCTCCCCCCACCCCAAGGGGACCCCAGAAAAATCTTAAAAACTGAGTTTTTGGCAATAATGAGACAGGAGGTCATTATACCTCTTTTCTGTGGTTTAGACACAACAACTGACCAGCATTAATGTTAAAATAGAGATCATAAGACTGACAAAATGGACTCTTTGTGGCAGTAAGATTCCAAATTACAAACAAGACCTAAAGCCATGGCAGGCAAGGGTTCAGTCATGCATTCCTACACTTAAAAAAACCTATGCTCTAACTGCCACAGCTTTTTCTTTTTTCTTTTTTTTTTTTTTTTAGAAAACACATTGTTTATTTTGATATGGTAAACGAATTGTTACTTTGAAATGATAAATTCTTACTTTATTAGAATTGCTGTCAATACTGTAAATAACATTTTTTCTCGATTTCATGAATAACAGTAAAAAGTCCTAGGGGAAACAATAGGAAAATATAGAAAAGCTATTAAAGAATTACCTGTCTTTAAAGCTTAACTTAAATGCTCCCTCAAGAACACTGGACTGATTTCCCATCTAGATGCAGTCACTTCCAGAATGTTCTTCTCTCTCTTAACATTTTCCCATCATTTAGTTATCTTCTTGTTCCCCTTAATCTCTAAGTTACTAAATCATACATTGACGTATAATACACAGAAAGATGCAGAGGTCCTAAGAGTCCCATCATGTAGAGAAGAAAACTAAGACCAAAGCCTCAAGGAAATCCTACTCACAAAATTCGATACTTAAACATTCAGAAGCATTTAATATATATGGCTTCTTCCATAAGCTAAAGTACAATATTTCATAAATTTTGATATATCTTCTTAAATATTCATACATAAATGATAATCAAACCATTTTTTCCGAATATCCTAAGTATTTTACAGTTAAATTGTTTAGATTTCAGGGGAAAAAGAAAGAATTAGATTTCTGTTAGGTTTTTCTTTTTCTCTAGCAGCTGCACAAGCACCAGCCTCAAGATAAGCAATAAATGATTTATTGCTTGGCCACCACTGACAGACACTGAATAACTAACTCCCAGCCCCTGTTCTACAAGCTGTAACTACAGCTTTAATTAGACAGGAGACTGACTTCAGTCACTTTGTCCTGATCAAAATGCCATAGACCCAGAGACCACAGACTGGTTCTGGCTAGTTTAAGGAGTCTGCACACTTGGGAGCTTGTTTTTTAAAAAGATCATTTGACATATAGGGCCTAATTTAAACAGATTTAAAGGTTAAGTCTCCACTCCAAGATAAATGTGGGTCATATATAACATACACGTGTGTTCAGAACACTGCATCAAGACCACCTTCATGAATATTCATAGCTCCTCCTGTAACCTGTTAAATACATATACCTGACCAACCCTTTCAGTTTGAATTCCTGTCTTATTCTTCCCTTTCTCAAAGTGTCTGTCTCCGGGCTCTGCTGAAGGCTATGCTTCCCAGACTGTCAAAATGGGCATCTGGCAGGCTGTAACCCTTTATAAAAAATCAAGTCTAATTTCTAAATTTATATGTTGTCGAAGTTAACAAAAGACATGTTTCAAATCATGACCTTGCTGCAACGGAACTTTAGACGTATCATTCATTCTCTGAGCCTCATTGGCAAACTCTGATGTGGATAAGCATCACCTAGGAAGCTGTCAAAATGAAGATTCTGATTCAGTAGGTCTGGGTGGGACCCAAGATTCTGCATTTCTTTTTAATTTTTTTGGAGACAGGGTCTTACTCTATTGCCCAGGCTAGAGCTGGAATTCAGTGGCAAGATCTCAGCTCACTGCAGCTTTGACTTCCCAGGCTCAAGGATCCTCCCACCTCAGCCTCCTGAGTAGCTGGGACTACAAGCACATGCCACCACACCCTAATTTTTTCTTGTTAATACTTTTTTGTGGAGAAGAGGGAGTCTCACTATGTTGCCCAGGCTGGTGAGACTCAAGCAAATCTCCCAACTTGGCCTCTCAAAGTGCTGGGATTGGAGGCATGAGCCACCATGCTCAGACAAATTCTGCATTTCTAACAGCTAGATGCCAGACGAGGTTATTCCTGCTGTCTGCAGGTCAATTTTGAGTAGCAAAATGTGATATTCTGAAAAGATAGCCAGTCCTAATCTCTGGAGCCTATAAATGTTAACTCCCTTGGAAAAAAGGTCTTTGCAGATGTGATTACATTAAGAGTTTTGAGATGAGATGATCCAGGTGAACCCTATTTGCAATCACATGTATCCTTAAGAGATTTTGCATAGGCAGGAAAAAAAAAGGTGGCAATGAGGCCATGGAGGCAGAGATTAGACAGATGCTGCCCCAACCAGAAGCTAGAAGTGGTGACCAACAGATTCTCTGAAAGGAGTGTGGCCTGTGATTTTGGCCCAGTGATACTGATTTCCAGCATCTGGCCTCCATAACTTGGAGAGAATAATCTGTCTTCTTCTAAGTTACTGAGCTAGTGGTAGTTTGTGACAAACTAGTCTAGGAAGGGTCAGTTTCCTAGGAAGCCCTATGAAACAGTACATGTGCATTTAGGAAACTTAAATGAATAGATAATAAACATATTCCTTAGAACTGTCTCCCCTCAACCCTACATTCTAATGTAATTCACCTGGAATGTTGCTGGATGTCGAGATTGGTAAAATTCCCTAGGTGGTCCTACTGTACAGCAAAGCCTGAGCCGCTTCTAATAAACCAAAAGACTCTGCAAGATGCAGTCCAAAGACCTGAATCCAGAAGATTTGGGTTCAAATTTCAGTCCTTCCACTTTCTAGTTCTATGATTCTATGATTCAGACAAGTTACTTCTCTCAGTCCCGTTTTCCTCATTTGTAAAACAAGGCGAGTTAACATCATTTACCCCCACAGGTTTGTTAGGAGAATTAAACTATATAGAGCGCCTAGCTTTATGCAGGGTCCATGGTAGACACTCAAGCCTGTGGATTGCCAGCTGGATGACTTGAACAAGTCACTCAGAATTTATTGGCCTTTTTTTTTTCTTGACCATAAAACAAAAAAAATTGGGCAAGAAAGGTGGTTTTAAAAATTGGTTAAAGCAACAGAATCCTTTTATAAATGTAACGTGATATGGAATCTTGGTATATAACACAAGCCTGTTTATATCAAACTGTTTTATGTTCCATGGAGTGGAATGGGGACAGGGGCCTCCTGCAGATGCTCATAGTCCCATCTTCAGAGGCTCAGGATCCCAGGGCTCCAGGGGACTCAACTTTTAAACTCATCAATTTAATACTTTCTAAGGTATCTTCCAGCTTCGATGCATCTTGGTTCTCCGATTATAAATGGCAAACTGCACACAACAATACCACCTCAGGAGAAATCCAGGGAGCTCATGCACATAGGCCTGTCCTTGTAGGTGCTCAGTAGCTGCAGAGAGGATCTCTGCTTGAATGGAAATCTGATTTTATTACTCTTTCACTCAGGAAATAAAGACAAGGCCAGCACTACAAAGCTGCCAGAAGGAATAGCAGTGCCTGGCTGTGCTCCTTGAAGCAGCAAGGTGAAATACTGACTCCCCTCCTTGACTGCAAGGGCCTTCAGGCTGGGGCCCCACTGTCAAATTTCAAGATTCCAGTGAACATTCAAAGACCCCTTATATATGCAAGAAAAGGTGTTGGGGCAGATGCTGAGGCTGCAGGAGTTAACTAATCATGCACGCCTCCCTCTCGGGGCGTACAATTCTGGAGGCTGAGACAGACCTCGAGGTAGAAAGGCAGGCAGCTAAAGCTTCTCCTAGCCAGGTACAATGGCTCACGCCTGTAATCCCAGCACTTTGGGAGGCCGAGGTGGGCAGATCACCTGAGGTCGAGGGTTCGAGACCAGCCTGACCAATATGGAGAAACCCCATCTCTACTAAAAACACAAAAAATTAGCCAGGCGTGGTGGTGCATGCCTGTAATCCCAGCTATTCATGAGGCTGAGTCAGGAGAATCACTTGAACCCAGGAGGCGGAGGTTGCAGTGAGCCGAGATCGCGTCATTGCACTCCAGCCTGGGTAACAAGAGCGAAACTCCATCTCAAAAAAAAAAAGAAGAATAAATATGAAGTCCATATACAACTTGCAATTAGAGACCTGCGCCATCTGGTTCTGCCCACGCTTCCTGCCCGCCTGGCCTCACCCACTCCATGTGCTCTCTCCACAAGGCCCCATTTTTAATCTCATCTAACCTCACAAGCTCTCTGCTGCTTGGAATTTTTCACAGCCATTCCTCTGCCTGCACTGCTCTCCTCCCTGCCCATTGCCCAGTGAGCTCCCTCTTATCCTTGAAGTCGTAGTTTAAATGTTACCTCCTGCGAGAGTTCTCTGACTGCACTAAGAGACTCCCCAACAGTCTCCATTTCAGTCTGCTGTCCGTTTCTTAATTTTTAATCGCGCTTTTCTCAACTGGCAATGCCATTACTTACCTCAATCAGAGTCCCAATAAGCAGCAGATGGCACAGTCAGAGTAAGATGATTTGAGGACATTTTACAAAGATGTTTGTGTAGGAAGACCACAAAAGGTATTGCCATCATCGGGGGCTCACAACAGCCAAGCTGTTCTCTTAGGCACTCCCCAAAATAACAGAGACAGTGTTACTGGAACCCCAAAGGAAAGGAAGTGGAGCAGCGACCCTCCTGTAGGTGAGGGACAGGGTCACCTGGAGCCTGACCCGTGCTCCTCCCTCCCACACCTCCTGTTGGGGCACTCCATTGGCCAGAGCCAGCCCAAAGGCAGAGGGAAAAGGACCTGGGCCACGCCCCTATAGAGGACACAGAGCAGCTGGCTAAGAATGGAGAATAGATCCAGAGGGGCAAGCAGAAGAGTCCTGCACAGGGCTGTCCTCCCCAACAGAGACCATCCAGTCTCTGCCATTAGATTCCCAGAAGCTAGCCCAGGGCTGACACTTAGACATTCCACTAAGACATTTTGAATAAATGAGCACCTGGATGACTGTGGGAGGTACCCACAACTATTTGTTGTGTGGCAAATGGTTAGGTTAGGGTAAAGATGATTTTAAGAATTTAAGATGTAACTATGATGCCTCAAAATGCACAGATAGAAAAGCAAGGGACTTAGAAATTTCCAAACATTTCACCCAGAAGAGCCCTAACTGTCCAGGCCAGGCCAAGAAGGAGAGACCAAAGTCTGTTCCATGGGCCTGGTTTCTTCAGTCTCCCACACGGCTGGCCTCTGGATAGCAGGATGGATGCTATTTACCTTCTAGGAGGTGCCTGATTCCCCTCTGCCCTGTTTGCTTTGTGGGATGTAGTCTCTAGAATGAGCCACGGGAGCCAGCTCCTCTGAAATGCCTGTGGTCGACTGCCCTAGGTATCCGTCAGCTTCTCAGGGGGGCTCTCAACTGCAGATTGCTCATGGGGTGGGCTCTGGTATGACTCACCTGGGGTCAGGAGCCAGCTTCTTCACTTCCTAGCTGTGTGACTTGGGGCAAACCACTCACCTTCTCTGAACCTTTGTTATAAAATGGGGGCAGCAGAAACTATTTTTCAGAGTCATGAATGATGTATGTTAAGTGAAAAGCAGCAGAGACTTATTAAATATGTCATAAATACTGTTTTTCATAAGGTCCTAGCAGGAAAGGACTGTGCCTTATTCAACCTTGTGTCACAGGGCCTCCCACAGTGTTATAGTTTCAAAGACACCAGGAATAACCCCAAAGCCTTTTCCACCCACTCCCTGGTACCATTTGATTGAATCAACAAGGACTTTTATGCTTTGACCCCACTGAAAATGCAATGCCCCTCCTTTTTCATCCAAGGCTGTTAATCATTATCAATAGCTTCATATGAATGAGTTTCCATATTTTTCTACCATAAGGACAGGTTCTATGTGAGGCCAAGGAGTGGAGTTAGTTACAACATAAGGCTATAGGACATCTGCAATAGATGGCAGTGAAGGAGGCCCTCCGAGAGACAAGAGGGGTGAAGATTAACGAAACTAGCCTTGAGCTGATTTTAAGTCAAGACTATGTAGCAGGAGAAGTCTCCAGAGGACCACCCCATATACGCCCACTTAAAAACCACTGATCCAGTGTGATTCAGTAAATACTGAGAATCTACCCAGTGCTGGGCCTGGCCTCTACGGCTGCAATTCACGCTGTAACTCAAGGCTGCCCCTCTGGAGAAGGAAGTAGCCCATTCTAAGAGCAGAAGGTGAGACAGCCTGGATTTACATCCCAACGCTGCTGCTTCCTAACTGTGTACCTCCCACACTCGGGGCTGGCTTCATGGATATGCAGTCTGTGCAGCCATACAGGACCCCAAACTCAGAAGAACCTCACTATGGCTGGGTACGGTGGCTCACACTTGTAATCTCAGCACGTTGGGAGGCCAAGGCAAGTGGATCACGAGGTCAAGAGATCAAGAACATCCTAGCCTACATGGCAAAACTCCATCTCTACAAAAAATACAAATATTAGCTGGGTGTGGTGGCATGTGCCTGTAATCCCAGCTACTCAGGAGGCTGAGGCAGGAGAATCACTTGAACCTGGGAGGCAGAGGTTGCAGTGAGCCGAGATTGTGCCATTGCACTCCACCCTGGTGACAGAGTGCAACTCCGTTTTTTTTTTTGTTTGTTTGTTTGTTTTTTTCCGGGGACAGGGGGAGAAAAAAAAAGAACCTCATTGCACTTGCTTTACCCTCTGCGGTCACCATCTTGAAACTCTTAATAACTTCTTAACGATGGCTGTGCATTTTTATTTTTCACTGGGCCTTGCAAATTCTGCAGCGTGTCTTCTACACTTTATTTACTCTCCCTGCACCTCTGTAAAAAACTCCTTTGCAAAACTAGAGTGACAATATTTACTGGGAAGATGGTGGAGGGATTCAATGAGATAATGTATGTGAAGCCTCCCCTGCAGTAGCTGTGCTCCTAACTCTTATTTTCAAAGTCTCACTTGATCCTCCCCACAGCTATTTGAGATCAGCCCAGCAACCCATGTCATGACATTAGACAAAGGAGAAGCTGAGACTCAGAGCCACTCATCCTAGGTCACAGAACAAACAAGAACAGAAACAGAGTTTGAACTCTGCTGCTGCTTTCTCATGGGGACCCCCATCCATGCCCACCCATCCATCTGGCCCAGATGACCAAGGGCCATGGGGGTGGTCTTGGGCCCACACCTGTGACTGGCAGGACCTAAAGGGTCAGAGGGCATCACACTCACACTCCCCCTCACTCTCATGGAAAGGGACTGTATTTTCAGGCCAAGGAGGGTTTCACTCTGCCAGACTCTCAGGCCCCAGTGGTCAGCACCCCACCCTGAGCCTCACCTTTCGCAGCCTTGTTGGCTAGGATTAACCCCTTCTCTGCCTTATTCTTCTTCTTCTTCAGCTTCAGCCCAAACATCCCCTTTCTGAAAAGAGCAAACAAACAACAAAACAGTAATAGGAAACTTTGAGTCATTCAGACATGTTAGGAGAAGGTAGACACACAAATACACTGAGCTCTCCTGAAGCCCATCAGCCTCCTCATCCGCCCAGGTTGGGGGCAAAAGACAAGGGTCAGGGCACCCAACAAGCTCTCCAGGGAGCTCTACTTTTGCAGAAGACACAAAAACCCCACCTGAATTGGAATCTTGAGGTCCACCTGGAGTTGCACGTAGAGAGGCAAACTGAATGCTAGTAACACTGCTGAAGTGCGTCTCTCCTGCCTGACCAGGCTCTTACAGGCATAAAAAGCAGCCGCGTCATTTAATCACCACAGCAGCCCTCTCCTGCCCGTCGTACAGATGAGGAGCCAAGGCCCAGAGAGGCTGGGCAACGTTTCTAAGATCACACAGTTCTGAACATCAGAGCTGCCACTGGAACCCAGCCCTGCCTGACTTCAAGGGCCAACGTCTAACCACAGGGCAGCTGGAGCCTGTCTGTTACCTTCAGCAGAGTGAACACCATCACCAGACTTGGGCTCTCTTGAGATCAAGGTCAAGAAGGCCTGGAATCTCCTGAGGTCGCACCACAAGCACACAGTTCAGCTGGCACATGGCACATGCCCAAAATGTCCACTACTATTATTGTTATTGTTAGCCATGAGCAGGAAGCCATTTCTAATCCTCCTTCTCTTCCCCGCCCACCCCTAGATGAAGTCTTGCTCTGTTGCCCAGGTTGGAGTGCAGTGGCATGATCTCGGCTCACTGCAACCTCCACCTCCTGGGTTCAAGCTATCTTCCTGCCTCAGCCTTCTGAATAGCTGGGATTACAGGCACCCAACATCATGCCTGTAAGCCTCCTTCTCATCGCATGAAGCTCCCAGTCTATGGTCTCTGACAGACAAGAGCATTCCTAAGGCTCTGCCAGCCTCCTACATAACCCCTTTCTGAGCTGAGGGACTGCCGAGAACAGGGCTCTGGGGCACAGATGGATGAAACCAGGCTGGGGAAAAGTCCTGGCCTCAGTGCAGGCAGGCTGGTCAGCCTTGGAGAGAGGAGGAGAAGGAACAAGGAAGTGGACATTTGCAGGTGAAGGGAGGAGATGACAGCAAAGGCTCAAACCCCATTCAGTAAACATCCATAGGTCTGGAATGTGAGAAGCAGTGGAACAATCACAGTCTCCAATTTTGCTTATATGTTTAGGACTTAGGATGTGTGGGATGCAGTGGTTAAGATCAGTCTCCACAGTCAGACTGTCTGGATTCTAATCCCAGCACTGCCTTTGCAACCTTGACCAGGTCACTTAGTCTCTCTAAGCTTCAGGGTCCTCATGTGTGAATTAGATAATAAATGTAAAGCATTTAGCACACTACCTGGAACATACTAGTTGCTCAATAAACTTTAATTATTCTTATTGTCCTAGGGTAGGATTAAGACCAATGAGAAGAAGGCCCTAGGAGACAGATGTCCACTCAACTCATTCACTTATTCTATTCAGTTTTTGCTCACTTATTCTACGTACACCCTGCTTCGATTCAGATAAGGAATTAAGAAGCCACCACATCAGTGCTGTCTGAACGGTGGAGTGAACTACTCTGGGAGGAAATGAGGTTCCCGTTCCTGGAGGTGTGCAAGCAGAGGCCAGAGCACCACTGTTAAAGGATGTTGTAGAGAAGACAAGCAGCAGAAATAGGGACTGCCAAGGGAAATTCAGGGGTCCTTTGAGACCCTGAGATATATTATGATGAAAAGAATGACCTCTGAAAGCACCCAGATGGTGGACAGGACCCCAATTCCTTGGGCAAGTTCAGTATCTCTCTGGGCCTCAGTTTCCTCCTGTGTATAATGGAAATAACTATTCTACAGGATTGTTGTGAGAATAAAATGAAGTAATGTAGCAGAGCACCTAGGACAGTGTATATTGAAAGGCTAAATAAGTGCCCTTCTTGGAGGTAACATTTTCTCCCTTTGATTTGCCATCATCCTCTGATGAGAACATCATCCTAAGTCTCCCAGGAAACTCTGGAGAACATACACAAGGAGGGCTTCCAATAGTAGTTTTCACTGTTCTGTTTTCAAAGGGTAGTTCCCAAGCCGGGGACCTAAAGCTAGTTCCTTCCCAACCCCGAATCGGCATTGTGGTCCCCAGGTGCCAGGATCAGTTCAGAGAGGCAGAATCTGATGTTCCTGGAAGCCTGGCCAGTGGGCTCTGGAGACTGCTTGAAGCAGCTAAGTGACTCCCATTCAGAAATAGGGAGTTGCTGATAATAAAAGACAGTGTCTACCAAGGGAGACATAAGGTTCCTTTCAAGAGCTGACATTCTCACCATGGCTGGCCTCAGTGTTCTGAGTTCTCCAGTAGTGAATCCAGTGCCTGAGGCATTGGGGCATAGCTGAAGATGCTGTCTTGAGCAGGGGAAGAGGAAGAGATGCCCCATCTCTTACAGACAGGCACCCCTGCCCCTCTGAAGCCAAGAGTTCTGGACCCTGCTGCCAGTTGGAATCACTCAAGAAAGTTTATAAAAATACTGATGTCTCAAACCACTTTCGGAAATTTTTAATTACTCTAAGGCAAACCCAGTGTTGAGAAGCAGAGGTCTGAGCACAGCTCAGGTCCCCTACAGAGTAAGTCAAATGAACTTTGAGGAATGCTGAAAAGATTTACAACCAGCTTGGCCCTCTTGGGTGGGCTGATGTTAGTATCACAAACACACAAGGTTGTTTGCCTGAAACCGTGAGTCAGTCATCAAGGGCACACCCAGCATGACTCCCAGCATGAAAAGGTTTCTTCATGAAAATTGATTTCTTCTCCACAGCCTTGTGACATCAAGCAGTAAGTGGCGGCATGGCTCACCAGCCCAGATCTGCCACTGGCAGATCGGGCAGTAGAAAATGAACTGGAGACACAGGGCTCAGCTCAGGCACCTGCCTGAATTCATTGTTGGCTCTAGAATTTGGGGTTGAATACTTAACTCAGATGTGTATTTCTTCCCATGTGACACAGGACATTTCTTACCCAATTCACAGGGTGATATTAAAATAGGAAACAATGTTATTGAGTGTAAAGCATGCCACAAATTGTCACAATATTGATAACAAGGAAAGGTGAATTTAAAATTTTTTACACCTGTATAAAGCACTGTGTGCCAGGAACATCATTTTACACATTATCTCCTAGGATCCCCACAGCATACCACAAGGAAGATGATATTATTAACCTTTCTGACAAATGAGAGGCTTCCAGGGGTTCCAGATAATGTATGGGAATCAATCACCAAATCAGGAAGACTTACCTGGTAAGTCCCTAAGACAGCTGCCACCATGTCCCCCACCTCCTCTACTTTGCAGAGAATTCCAGTATGAGAACCCTCCCACTTCACAAAAAGTATGGGGCTTTCTGGCTTAGGATCTATTGAATATCCATCCCCAAGATAAGTCAAGAGATATACAGGAACCCCCATACCAACCTGGTCTCCTCAGGGTGAAAGCTACTGCGACTCCGATATCTGTATCCAAACAATAAGAGCATTAAATGAGGCACGTGTTAGATTTGCTCAGCACACCTGTTCAGGTGGCATTACTCACTGTTTAACCACAAGGCCCACACTGCAGAGAGGCAGCCAGCCTGGCACAAGAAAGAGGGGCTGGACTGCTGGAGTGTGGGTCTCATGTATGCCACTTTCCAACTATGTCACTAGGGCTGGACATGGGACTTCTCTGAGTTCCAGGCTCCTCTTCTGTTCGCCTTGTTCAGGAAGTGCCCGTAAGGTTAGTTCTGCTTTTTCTCACTAGGATGTTACACAGATGACCTATTGAGCCCTCATGCTGAACTATTAAAAGCTCTGCAAATAGCTAATTTAATGTCATGTCCACGGCTCAGCAGAGTCAGGATTAGAAAACTGCTCACAGCCAGAGTTGCCATGTGTTCTCCCACTTGTGTCACCAGATTCCCCTTCTGGAATCACCTTCTCTACCTTCACTGCAGAATGGAGGCAGCTCAGGCCAAATGGCCAAACACTAAGTTACTTGTGTCAACAGCATGCCCAGTACTGGCCCACACTGCTCTATTCTTTACCTAAGAGGACTCAGGATGCAGATTACCTGTGCACCTCACCTTCTAAACCCAAAGCCATAACACCCAGTACAGAAAAAAATATAAATTTAAAAAAAACCTTTAGTAGAGTTGTGAATTTATGTGAAATTATTATAAACTTTAAAAAATGTTATATATTTGATGAAGTCTTTTCATCCAGAAAAGGAATTTGCATATAATGAGATCTATCTTAAAACAAAACAAAATCACAACATTTTTCCATCATTCAAAGATTATCTGAAAAGCCTGTAGATAAATTTCCAGTAGCCTGCTGGAAAATGCCTTGTTGAGGATGTCCTATCTAGGTACTCATCTTACTTTCTAAGACTAGGATGTATTCATTAATGCAAACCACTACACATAGAAACCATTGTAATGCATATTTCAACAGAAATTGTTAAAATATAAATCCATGTGATACCCTATCTTGCCATGCTTTTGGAACTTCTCTCTCCCCCTATGATCTTCTCATCAAAACTTACCTATGGAATTTTCTGTTTCATCAAGGCAATGATGCCCCAACTTTGGCTACACATCTAATCCACATAGGAGTAGCTTTCTAAAACTGTACTCCACACTTGGTCAGATAACATCCTCGAGAGTGTGATTTCATTGGTCAGTGATAGACCAAGGCTTGGTGGTTTTTAAGCTCCCTGGTGATTCTCTCTAATGTGCAATGGGTTACAAACCCTGTGTTGAAGTAAATAGTACCAATGAGCTATCCTCTCAAAGAGAATTGTAAACAGCTATCCTCTCAAAGAGAAATTGAAGGGAAATTTAAAAGAATTTCTTGGCCTGGTGCGGTAGCTCATGCCTATAATCCTAGCACTTTGGTAGGCCAAGGCGGGCAGACCACCTGAGGTCAGGAGTTTGAGATCAGGCTGACCAACATGGAGAAACCCCGTCTCTACTAAAAATACGAAATTAGCCGGTTGTGGTGGCACATGCCTGTAATCTCAGCTACTTGGGAGTGTGAGGCAGGAGAATCACTTGAACCTAGGAGGCAGATGTTGCTGTGAACCAAGATTGCACCATTGCACTCCAGCCTTGGCAACAAGAGTGAAACTCTGTCTCAAAAAAAAAAAAAAAAAAGAATTTCTTAACCAAACTGAATGACATTTATTAAATTCAGAGCCTTTAGGAGATACATTTGGTTAGGCTGCACTTTATAATCCAACTCCACTTCCCTTCCACTCAACCCCAACCCCTACAATTAGCCCACAGAATTGGTTGCCTTTTCTACTTATGCATAGGATGAGCTCAGCCTTGGAGGAACAGAATCCTCAGGTTTACGAGAAAAAGCACAATCCTCTTTTGGATTAAAAATGTCTCAAGCAAGGGTAATGGCCAGAATGGATGGGCCCTGGCTTTCAGTCTCATGGGAAGCAGTTCATTCCTGCCTACTGTGTTTCGGAATGCTCTATCTTGTTGTGATAATAAGTGGATGTTTCTGTGTTAGGCCCTCATTTTGTACATTCCAGTCCCCTCAACCATTATAATGAGATTCAAGTATCACAATTCAACAGACAGTGATTGAGAATCTTAATATTTCACCTTCAAGAGTCAGCTGAGCCTAGGAAATACACTCCCAAGAATGCTAATTAATTCCTCTGAACCAAAAATGACTCAGGAATAATTCAGAGCCACACTGTGTAAAGGCCATCCCTGTTAAGCCAGCCTCTCATAGCCCTTCAAAGAAATTTGCTAAGTGTTCAAGAGCAAGATGGCAAGAGAGCAAGGCTGCAGGACTGCCCCAGGAAAATGGAGACCTTTTTCTTGCATGCTTCCTGCCCACCCTGGGGCATGCCAGCAGCAGTGCCCACGATAGGAACCATCCTCTAGGGGTTGGGGGATCTTTTTCAGCCTGGGGTCACTGGCCTCCATCTTCTCCTGCTCCTCCCCCTCTCCAGCTAAGCATCAGCATATCACACATGACTGAGCTGGTTACAGTGCAAGAAAAACAGAGAAACAAACACTGGCAAGTCACATCAACAATACAGTACAGTTAGGGCTGCTAGATGCCCACACTGCAGCCTAAAAGTTCCTTTTGCCTGGGCCCCTAAGAAAAGAGTTCATCTTTCCTATTTCATCTTCTTTATATCCCAGCTAATTATAGCCCTGCTCTCCACTTTCCTAAACATGAAGAATCAACCTTTAAGCCAAAATAGGCTATGGGCAGCTTCTCAGCACTTGGCACAAGCAGTTCTTTCTCCCTTTGTCCCAGCATAAATGAATTTTCAAACTCCCATCTTTGTTAGGCATTCTGCTTTTTCTCCACTCCCCAAACCTTCTCCCTCCCATATATTGCTTAATTATCTTTTGGTAGAAGGAGAGTATGGCATTAGGGTTACAGTCCTCACTTGGGGAGGGCTAAGGTCCAAAGCTCTTACTCCCATGTGGTCTTTCTTCCTTTGGGTCTACCTGCCCACAGAACATTTGAATTCTACTTTCTGCTCTGCTGTGCAAGTGGAAGTAACCACTGAGCAGGGCTTCTCCTCCCTGCAGCTGAGTGGACAAGTCCATCTGATTCAGAGGAAAGCATCTGAAAACCAATCTGGACTCCGGTCCAAACAGCTTTCTCCAGTTGTTTCACCAGCAATCGAGGTAATATTTTGACCCCTATTTGATGCCTGGGTTTCTTTCTCAATTGGTTCTGAATGTCTAGGGGAAAGAGAAGGGTATGGTTATAACCTCAGGAACACCAATACACTGACTCACAGCAGATTTTATTACAAATAGGAATCATTAAACTTCCTAAACTTCATAAGAGTGGATATATGAAATTCCCCTGAAACTCCTTTTTGTTAATGCTGTAGATGCTGAAGATAGGAGAATGGGTGCTATGCAAAATTAAATTACTGCCTTTGCTGCAAGGTTCTCAGAGCCTTGTGCACTGTGATTCTCTAAGAGGGGGTTGTCGTATTCAGACTTTTCCAAATGGATTTGACCGCCACACCTTTATCATTAAATCTCTATTAATATCTTCAAGAACACTACTTAGGACTTCAGAGAAACAGAATCCTTCAGTAAAACAGAAACTTTTACTATTCTTTTTTCTTTTGAAACTTTCCTGAGATGAGCAATGACCAGGTAAGAATGACTGGGGAAGTAGAGGAACCCCGGACATCTCTCCCATGCGTTCCCTCCTCTAGGTCCACATGGCTCCTGGTGCTAGTTCAGAATTAACTGGACTTTCTATTTCTGTTCCCTCCCTCCTGAAACTTCCATTCCACAGCCATCTTTGCAAACCAGAGGAACAGAATTTTCTGAATCTGACAATGTTTACAAAGGTCCTTAAGTCAGTGTCACACCAATATCATATCAGTACACAATGAAAGTTGTCCTCTGATATTAAAAAAAAAAGGGGGGGGTGGAGACAGGATGCCCACTATTTCCCTTCTATTCGTCATAGCACTGGAGGCCCTGGCCAATCCAATAATGTCGGTCTAGTTGAATTACTAACTGAATTTATTAGGATACCTAAAAACAGAGTCAATATATGAAAGTAAGTTGTACCTCTTTATACCAAAAGCAAATAATCATAAATTAAAATTTGAAATAAAAGATTTTATAATAGCATCAAAATTCAAAAACTGAGGAATAAGTCTAAGAAATGTAAACAAGACCTATACCCTGAAATTACAAAATAAGATGAATATTCCACACTTGAAGATTGGAAAGTGCAATATTAGAAAGAAGTCAAACTTCCCTAACTTGATTTGGAGATTATTTACTACATTTGCTTTGTAAAATTTATCAATTCATACACAGGATTTGTGGGTGTGGCTTTTTATGTTTATATGTAATGCTTTAAGATTTAATGTTTAAAAAGCATAGATATTTAGACTGAAAGCCCTGGCTTCGAGAATCAGTTAAACCATATGCTAATTACGCAATCTTGAATAAATCCTTAACCTCTCTGTGCTTCAGTTTCTTCATATGTAAAATGGAGGATAGATTATGTCTTTCTTACAGGACAATCATGGATATCAAATGAGATAACAGAGCCAACATACTGTTTGTAAACACAGAAGTGTTATATTCTACACACATTAATTAAATCAAAAAATCAGTGCAACCTTCTATGAATGTCTCTTAGGGTTCTTCACAATATAGTCTCAGTTCATCAATGCAGCAATTGATCCTCAAACCCTGTACTCCAGCCTGAAGGACGGCTCCTCCTCAACTCATTACATTCTCCTGTCCATGAACCACTGCCCACCGTAGGCCTTCCATTGAAGGGGACTTCTCCCATCTCTACTTAGCAACACCCAAATCTTTCTCCTACGCCCATCTCAACTGCCTCCTTTGATGTGATGTGTTCTCCAGCTTTGCAATGGAGCCACAAGTCATTCATTCCTCTGGACTCCACTCGCACTCTGTTCTTATCTCTATTATATACTCACCACGTGG